GAAACACAGACCTGGAGAAATTGAAACACAAGTGGTTGTAACCAAGGCAGCCAGTCGTGGACCAAGAAAGTGACCAAACATGCCTGCTACTAAACTAAAGAGTAGAGGTAAGACTACAATAAGTAAATACATATTTCAAATCCTTTTTTTTTTATTGAAGATCATGATAGTTGATTCCACAGAAACTCTTGAAAATCAATCATCAAACACATAGATGGGTGTCCCACCATGTTTTGCATGATTGAGTCTGTTTAGTTTGAAATCAAGCTCACTTGGTGAAAATGGTAAACACGACAGACTTAAGATCTGTTCCTAAGGGTTGTCGGTTCAAGTCCGATAGTGAGCATACTCGCTTGGTGAAAATCGTAAACTCCGACAGACTAAAACACTTTTTCGGTTCGAGCGAGTCAGGACCACGAGTCTGCGCAGCGAGTTCTTCACTACGAGTATCCTCAACGGCGTTGAATAAGTCCCTCAGCGCATACAATTCCCCCTAGTCTGCCCTTGCAGAGCTGAAGTTCTCCTCCCCCCCCTGCTATCCCACCCCTTCCAAGCGAAACAGCCCTCCAAGCCTCTCACCCTAATGAAAAACAGCACCCCTTGTCCCCTCTCCCCAATGGCCATGACTGATCCGGCCCAAAAATCAGCCTGGCCCAGACAGGAAAGGAAAACATCGATCATGTACTGCTTTATGCAGTTCAGCATCACTCGACATGAATACAAACGAGCACTCATGCACCGAGGCATCGGAGGCAGTGATCGTCAACAATGTAACTGTGAAAGATCAATGGTAACAACTCCCACCTTGGTAAATGAAATGCCATATTCCATTGGGAAAAAAAAAAAAAAAAAAAAAAAAAAAAAAACTCCCACCTTGTGTAACCCTTGCAAGGAGGGGCCCCAACCCTGAAGGAGAGGGCGCCTATAAGTGTAAACACTGCCAAATCACAGAAGAGACTCACTTGTGACCGACAACAAATCTTTTTCAGAAACTCAGACAAACAAGCATTAAGAACGCGATTCCAAAAATCAGAAATTAGTTCTTGATTTACACCGATCAAAGTCTAGAAAAGAGCTCGGAAAACAAGAAGCCGAGATTATTAAGCTCGGAAATCGAATTTTGCAAAATAAATTTAGAAACTAGAACAAAAAATTAGGTGTCCTAAAAACTCCGACTCACGGTCCAGTTTACGATCATTCAGTATGAAATTTATGAGGAGAAAAATCTTGATGATACTATCATGATAGAAAATTTCGAAGTAAAATACTTGAACCACCAATTGGATTTCTCTAGTAGGTTTTTACTGATGAATCTTCCGAATGCATCCGTTATGGGACGCTGGGCCCGGTTCCCAGTTTGTGCCAATTTGTGAGGTAATGGTTGTATCCATGGGACGCTGGACCCGGTTTCTAGCAGGTGTTGCTCCCCACCAATAGATGGAGCTGTTTTGTTTGAAAAAAAAAAAAAAAAAAAAAAGAACCACCAGTACCTAGCCCAGTTATCGGCCGTGGAACAAACTACAGTAGAAACGTTTCTAGTAGGATGAATTT